TCTGGCGTGAGGGGCCTTCTGCATCTTCCATAACCGGCTTTTGTCCGCCGTTCGGGAGGTAGCGGAGAATGTCTTTTCGTGGAAGAGGAGGTGGAGGAGGACGAGGAGGAGGAAGAGGAGGTGGCTTCAATCGTGGAGGTGGTGGCGGTGATCGAGGTGGCTTTAATCGCGGCGGACGAGGTGGCTTCGGACGAGGAGGTGGACGAGGAGGCTTCAACAGAGGCGGATACGACCAGGGGCCTCCAGAAAGGGTCGTGCGTAAGTTACGGGAGGAGGTGATCCCTGCTTGGTTGAGTGTGACCGCCCCAGCTCTTCAGCGTGTTTGTTCCTTATTTCAGTGTTGGGAGAGTTCATGCACCCCTGCGAAGATGACATCGTTTGTAAGTGTAAAACGGAAGAAAACAAGGTGCCTTATTTCAATGCCCCCGTGTACTTGGACAATAAGGAGCAGATTGGCAAAGTGGATGAAATCTTCGGGCAGCTGAGAGATTTTGTATCCTTCCGGAAAACGCACGAAATGCGTGCCCTAGTTGGTGTGTGACGGCTGGTTGGGGATGAAGGACTTTTTTAAGATATTTGAAGGCTAGGCCGGCAGCTGGGTGTGAAGCCTGGCGGTACCTGGGGGTGTCAGGAGGCGCTTCATCCACGTTGAGCGCCTCTCTGAAGACTTTCCCAGTATGATGGAGTACCGTGGGTCAGGCAAAGGCTTCCAGTCAGTACCAGTACTGGCAGATGTCCTTTAGATCCTTGGTGGTTCGCGGCGTTGCTTTTTCTAGCTGCCTGACCGGATCTTCTGCTATAGGTTACTCGCCTATAGCAGAGTTGGATCAGGGAGTGGGTTTTTCTGTGCGTTAGGGGACCTCGATCACGCTCTGTTACTTAATTACAAAGGTGAGTTTGTGCAAAGATGCCCTAGTGCTCGTTGCCCAGCTGATTGAAGTGCCAGTGAAAGCAGGAGTGTGCCAGGACCTCCTCTAGCAGAGCAAGCTTGTTGGGAGGGGCACTGGGTCTGTCCTGCGGTCGCTGCGAGATTGACAGAACCCATGACAAAAGCGGGGCGACAGGGGGGGCTGCCCTGTAACGCGGCGCTCAGGCTTGGCCTGTGCTGGCTGGTGGAGCATCAGGAACTCGCTGCGTGCGTTTTCCTCTCCCACGCTGAAGGTGAGGTCAAGTGGGCACGTTTGGATCACTCTCGCGCTCTGAATGCACTGATATGCAGGTTCTCTTTTTGTATCAGAATTAGTTGAATTTCAGAAACTTGTTTTCTTCCTACAATAACATATTAAGAAAATAAGGATTTTGCAGCTCCTTGCTTCCCCATTTGCTCTCGAGTTTTAATGAAGCAGAGCTGGCCAGCAGCCCTCTTTGACCGTGAGGACAGTATGCCAAAGTCCTGGCGTGCCGGGGCGCCAGAGGGTCGGTGCCCGTCACCTCGCTGCAGGACTGGCCTGGGCCTGTGGCTGCTCCGGCGGTCCCTGCCGGCGCCTGGCTCCCGCAGCCAGGCTGTGGTACCACGGCCCCTGCAGCACGGACATCGTCCCAGATAGGCCCTGTGGCCGAAGGGGTTGTCACTCGCTGTGCAAATTTGTTTCTTCGCGGTTGTGGTTTTATTTACGCTTTCCGCTACTGCGCTAACCCTCGTGCCTTAACACGTGGAAGGAAAAAATGATTTTACCACAAAATACCATGTTTGTAACTATGAAAAAACCATGAGAAAAAATGGAAAGCGTTTCTCCTGATCTTTTAATTGTAGTTTTGCATTTGCGGTGATGATGTTTAGCTTCATATAGGAAATGTCTGAATGTGCCTTTCATATAATAATCAAAGTCACGATTTCTACTGTTTTATTCCTGCTTCCTTAAAGAAGCTGACAGTATTTTTCAGTGAAACTGTCCGAGAACATGAAAGCCTCTTCATTTAAAAAAATGCAAAAGGTTAGCCAGTCTTGATAACAGAATTCGACTGTGTTGTCAGTTAGATAAACCTCTATGTCGTCAGATAGTAAAAGCTTTATTAAGTTTTTATTAACTTCAAAAGCTGCTTGTTCTTTGTAGACAGAAGTACTCATTTCCTCTTCGCTTTTGTATCTGCCATGTTCTTTCTCTCCACCCTGCAAAAAAAGATGTAACAAATGAAACTCATGCAAATATCTATATTTTAATAGCTTTATAACACTGATTTATTTCTGGCGTGCTTTCTTTCTTTGGCTGTTTGCAGAGGGTTAAGACCAAATTGTGGATATTTGTAAAGGGAGATATTAATGTGCTCTTTAGCCTTGGTGTTGTCAAAGCCTGGTGGACCTCTCTTCCTGCAGTTCTACATTGATCCAGCAAAGCTGCTGCCCCTTCAGAGGTTCTTGCCGAGGCCACCTGGAGAAAAAGGTGCTCCCAGAGGAGGTGGTAGAGGAGGACGTGGAGGAGGAAGAGGCGGTGGCAGAGGTAAGAGCTCAAGAATAGAAGCTGCAGAGCGTTGGGGTTTTTTGGTGTGGGGTGGGTTCTTTGGGTTTTTTTGGGGTTGTTTTTTTGTAAAGCTGCAGTTGAGTGCTTGAATGTCGGCGGTTGTGCTGCAAAGAAAAATGTTGCGTGTATTTCTGTTTGATGACTCAGTGGTAGAGACAGTGGTACCTCCCCGAGGGCAAGACCTGGGCTTCTGCAGCCAGCTAAATAACAGCTCCAGAGCACGGGGAGGAGGGGATCCTAATTTATAATGGCGGCAGAAAGCGTGACTGGGGAGCAAACTTGTGGTAAAAGGCTGTAGGTAATACGTGCTCAGAACTGTTAGTGAAGGCTGTCTTTTTTTTTTTTTTTACTACGTTCTAAAAATCTAGTTTGGGCTAAGTACTTGAAGGGCGGTGTTTGAGAGCGGGGTGAATGACCTGGCAGTTCTCATCCTTTGCTTTTTGAACATTGTCTGCGATGTACTCCTCGATTAAAGCTGAAGTTAATTTTTACTTGCCTCCTCTCCCTACCTGCCCCCCTGCAGTGAGGCACAAGTGTTTCAAAGCTTCTTGTTTTGTTTTTTTTTTAATGTTCTGTTGAATTGTAGTTAATTATTGATTAATAGTTGTAATTGGTTCTTTTGCTGTCATGAAAGAAGTTTATTGTGGAGTTTTGTTTTGTCTTTAGTAGTTTGGGTGTTGTTTATCAGATGCTGCAGATGGTCGCTAGAGGAGACGAGGTACTAGTAATGGACCTAGGAACTGTCCAGCAGTTGACAGTTCGTGGATTTTTGTTGTTCTTTTCCTTTCAGAAGTTGTCAATGAAATAAGTTGTCATGCATCACAAAGAATTCGTATGCTCTTCAAAGTGTAATTACTTTCCTGTGTTTAGGTGGATTTGGAGGAGGAAGAGGTGGAGGAAGAGGAGGATTCAGAGGAGGAAGAGGTGGAGGAGGAGGATTCAGAGGAGGACGAGGTGGTGGAGGAGGCTTTCGGGGTGAGCGTGCAGTTTTTTCATTTCAGTAATAAGAATGGCTCCTGATTTCTAAAGCTTTTAAATATTAACCAGAATGTTGTATTTTTAAATCGGTCACAGATGTTTTATAGTTTTATGCTAAAAGTTTCTGTACGTCACCGTAGCTAGCTCGAACCGCAGCACAGGATCTGTGGTTTTTTCATACTTGTGTAAGACTGTGCTAGTTATTTTCATTCACAAAGGGCTCTGAGAACAGATAATGACGATAAATTATTTTATTCTATTAACTCATTTAGTGTTATGGATATTATTTATTTGCTTTAAGTGCATCTAAGATGCGAATTGTTCAGTGTATTTTTCTTCCCTCTTAATATAGGAAGAGGACACTAAAAGTGGAGCCACGAGCATCTCCCTGCTGTCTTACCGTATCGTCATGCAGAAGTGAAGAACAAGGAAAACTTTTTTTGTAAAGGACCCTGAAAAAGTTCTTTTTGTAAAGAACTTGAAACTGTAAAATGACAGTTATTTTTACGCTTAATGGCTGTTGGTCAACACGTGAGGGGAGCGTAGCCCCAGGCGAAGAACTGAAGACTGCTCAGAATATACTTGAACTTTTTTAACTAAGCCGGGATTCAACGTTGTTCTTAAACTGTTTGTTTCTAACAAGTGACGTAGTCAATGCTTGACTTCATGTTGGAGTCTGGGGTAAACAATCAATTGAAATGTTTTTTCGAAAACCCCTGCAGGTTCACTACGTGCACGTTCGTCAGTGTGAACCTGTTACCCATCTGCAACTGACCCCTGGTACTCATCCTCTTTTTATATTGAACCTTCTGGGGTGCTCTGAAGTGTTTAAACACTGTTTAAACTGTGCTGTTTAAACAACCTTTGTGAACCTTTTTTTTACAAGCTAAACTTCAAAATTTTGTGTTGATAAAATTTTTTTTAACATAATAATATATAAAAGGAAAGGAAGATAGCAAAGGATGTTTTGTGGATTCTTCTGTATAATCTCAAAGAAAGCCAAAGGCATTAAGATATGTTCTTCTTAGAACCTGCTCTCTAATGACTAAGACAAGTTTAATAGTATTCTTAGGTCACCTAATTGTATCTAATTACACTTGATACTAAAATTGCGAAGGGTTTTTAAGTGCCCCACCCCCAGCCTGTTTCTCCTGAGGTTAGGATGTCCTGGCACGGCACCTCTGGCGCTCTGAGCCTGTCGATGGCCCGTCACAGGGCTCCTCTGTGCACGGTACTTTCTGCGAAGTAGTGCTTAAAAAAGGCATGAAAAAATCTGCGCAAGTATTGGGTCTCTTTAATCGGATGCGTTAGAAGGATTGTTAAAAAGTTTGTAACTGTCTCTTCTTAGGGATAGAGGAGAACAGGGGGCCTCCCTGCTCTTTAACTTTGGAAATAAAATAAGAATAGAAAAGTAGAATCTCCCTGGATTTCATCTGGAGCCAGGAGTCCATTCGCAGGCTCTCATACTGTGCGTTTTTGAAAAGGGATCTGTAGAATTATCTACGTGAAACTATTTTGAACATCTTGTTCAGTGTGGAAAGTTGTTCATTTCAGAATTGATCGTACTGTTATATGTTTTTAATTAATGAATGCAGTAACAGGCAAATGAGCTATATGAGCCTTCTGCTTAACAAAAGAAACAGGTAGTTTGTCAGCAACGGCATTGGACAGTTACTGGCCATTTTAACAAATGCAACTGTTTGAATAATCTCTGGGACAAAACAAGTAGCAAAACAAATGTTCAGGAATTCAGTTAAGTCTGAACAGATGTTGCATAGGATACTAGATAAAAATGGTCTTCAGCTTCAAAAAACAAACTATGAAGTGTTGGAATTTCTGCTAGATCTGCTTTTGTGGGAAGAAACAGAGTCTGCTGTTCACCCGCAGCACAATCAGGAATTGAGGGATACTGATTATTTTCGTGGTTGCGTACAGGTATTTAAAATACAGTTAACCCTAACCAAGTCAGTTAAATCCAAACCTCTGAGAATGCTGAGAGTTTTCTTGCTCTAATCTAGGCCTAAGTGACATAGGGCTCTGGTTGAGGTCTTGTAGAATTGTTCTTTAGGCAAAATCCTATGCGAGTGGTTGCATCTCTGGCATAGCACGTTACAGGTGAACAGTACCAACCTGCGGTGAAGCTGGAATTGTCATTGCTTTTGTCAATATTTGTAACTGCGTCCTCTGCCGTGCTGTTTCTTCACTGATGCTTCAGTAGCTGGTTGTGGGTAGCTCGCTTAGATCTTGCCTCGTCTTCTGGCTTTGGAAGACTTGACATAACACAGTCCTCACTCTTATACCCAAGTTCACTCTCTGCTGTGCTGTTCTCGCTGCGTGCCTTAGGGACATACCTTTTCCCAGGATATCAGAAGACTGCTGCCATCACCCTTAAATTGCTTGATGTGACAGCTGATGTTTCAGTTGCACTGAGTACCGCCTTGCAGCCCTAGGACAAGAAGCGTGCGCTTGATTCTCACAGCAGGTGGAGCAGTGAGTCAGCCTGAAGCTGTTGCAAGGCCAAAGCAAAGACTTTCCCATCTGAGTGTGGAGGGTTTAAAGAACAATATCCGTTGCAACTCTAGAGGGAGGATCGGCCTCTTGACAACCAGGAACTGGATTGCTGTCCCAGCAGCATTATGGCATGCCCTGCGTGTACGAACAACGTTGGGTGGAATTAACACAAATATCCAGAGAAAATTTACGATCTTGCATCTTTGTGGAGGTTGTAGGACGTTCGGGTGCTGATGGAAGTACATCCTTAGTGACTGGGTGTGAAATGATTGCCATGTGAGGAAGCAGTGTCTGGACATGTCTGGTTTGTGGTGATGCCTCCCCCCCCGCCCCCGCTGTGGGGAAGGATCATGTTTGGTTGTGACGAGGCCCATGCAGTCCCTCTTCTGCCTTGTCTTCTCTGTGCCGTGGCATGACCCTGCCCTCCTAATGCAAGTGGTTGTTAACTGTAATAGATGAAAATTTAATGTCTTAAAAAAAAAATCAAGACGACATGCCTTGTCTGCAGTGTGGTGCTGCAATGCGCTAAAACACAGGTTCTTTAGTTTTATGACACCTTCCTCTCTGTCTTGAACTTTTTATTCAGATCCTATCTGTGATTCTGTCACTCTGCTTCTGATCCTAGTAAGTGAAGTGTTTTGAGTTTTACATTGTGTGCTTACAGATATCCTAGGCTTTTTGTGCAGCGAATAGGAAAGGTGGGCTCACCAGCACCCTGACAGAAATGGGTGTGTTGGCAGAAGTGGGAAGTTTCAAGTAGCTGTAGTGTCTGCGGAAAAGAAGTCGCAGTGCAGTCTGAAGCGAGGGGGGTGAGGGGGAGGTGTTAGGGGCAGCGTAGGCTCTCGATGACAGTTGTGTTCCCTGGATTTCCCCTCACTGGCTGCCTTTGGGGCAAATGGCTGGGCCACCTCAAGTACTTCTCACCTGCCACCTCCTCCAGCAGCGCGAAGCGGGTTGCTGTCCTGCAATGTTCCTCTGAAGCTCAGGAAGAAGAAGGCAGGCTCTGCTGCATCCCACAGCGCTTGGCTTCCCACCCAGGGCACAGCGGTAGTGGCGCTATCTACCCGTCTCCTTGTGCGCTTGTCAGCGTCTGCCTGTGCTCGCTGTGGGCAGAGGCAGAGCATTCAGCCACCAAGTCCTGTTTTCAAAACGGGGTCGCGAGTGCACGTGTTAGCCGCTGCGACATTTGATCCAGGGATGGGGTCTGACTTCCAGCTGATTTTGAAAATGACAGCTGGTAAATCACTGCGATCAGGTTGCGTACAGGTATTTAAAATACCGTGAACCTTTTGTCCTGGCCACACTAAATTTCTGGTTTTGTGTTTTTTCTATGTGGGGCCTAAATCCTTGCTGAACAGAGGGTAACACATGAAGGTGTACTGTAAAGCTTCAATTGTTACCCATTGAGAATGGCTTTAGTGCCCCTGCATTCCTTCTGGGAGGGATGTTTTCTGTCCTGTTTTCTGTAGTTCTGGGGTAGGATAGTTCCAATATCATTCATAGATTTGCTGTGCTACTTGGACAGAGAAATTTGGTGAAGTGCAGAAAATAATTGGGATATTTTAGTGTGCGTCTGCAGCACTGGCTGTTGTAGAACAGAAAGGATTCTCCAGCACTGACACGAAGTTATGTATGTTTGCCTGAAGCAATGCTGGATAGTCATGTGCACATTGGTGCAAAGTTATTTGCAGATGTGCAAAGCATTGTCTTGGCAAGAAACAGTGTTGTCATCTTAAAAAAAAAAAAAAAAAGCACAGATAGCTACTGCATGAAGCATGGCAAGTGAAAAGCTTTGTGGAGTCACATGTTTTTCAGGGCATTTTCTTCAGCCAGCTGAAAAATCTCTTTAGAGTTAAACTTCTCTAATTAGCAGTTTAAATCTAGTAAAAGACTCTGAGGGAGGAAAAAAGTAATTTATTGATTTATTTTCCATTGATTTTGATCTGTTTGCATTCGCTTGTGACAGTAAGGTTAAAGGGAAGCTCTGCCCTGTAGAGCCCTCTAGTGGGGACGGACCTCACAACCGTGGGAGGGTTGAGTTGGGTTTGGTGTGGTTACCACTGAAAACAGGAGAGAGGTGGGGTTTTTTGTTGGTTTTGTTTGTTTGTTTGTTTGCTTTTTTTTAATGCAAAGGGTAAGTTTCTCTACTCACATCACTTGTGGATTGAAATATACTGCACACATAACTGAAAGCAACTTGCTGAACCCCGTGGTGAGTTTTGCATTGCCCCACATCTGTACAGGTACCTACAAATTGAAGAGTGGACTTAAATAGAAACTGCATTTTGTTGCTGCTGGTCTGGGACAAGTGGAAGGGAAAAGCACCACTTGAGGTTATAAAGTGCCCCTGTGACACTAGTAATACTGTCTGTTATTGGAGGATAAAATCAGCCTGAGGTTTTGGATTTTTTTTTTTTTCTTATGCTGGTATTAAAAGGCATTGTGGTGCTCCATATTTTACCTGGCTTAGGAACTTTCTGGATTATTTGTATACTTCAGTATTTAATTCCTTGCTTTGTCTTTTTAGCTTTGTTTTATGAACTGCAGTATTCTAGAAAAAAAATTACTGTTAGGTTAATGATAAGTAGCATCTACCTTTAATTTTGACTTTTTTTCTCTCAATTCCTGTTGCTGTAAAATTAGGCAAATTTAAGAGAAGAGGAGACGGCACAATGTGATGGTGCATAGGATGGACTGCACATATTAGAAACCTGTGTTTTGACCGACAAGTACATATAAAGTCTGTATGGTCTCTCATTAACTGCTACTCTAAGTCTGGAATCCTATCTGAATAAAAATAGTAGTGATTTGCTTTTCTGAGACATTCAGCATTACAAGCTCTGACTTCTATGGAAGCTGCAAGATCTGAGATGCTTTTGAAAGTCTTGCCAAAGTTTCAGGGGAGGAAAGCAGAGATATCACATTACCACTCTGCTTTTATCCATCAAGGCAGGACCATGGGGCACTAGGGAAGTGCCTTCATTGCCAAACAGATCGTGTTTCCTTTCAGAACCCTCCCACCCTGTTCCTGCCTAATCCTCTTCTGACAGGAAAATTCTGTAATACTGTAAGTTCTCTGAGAACTGTAAAAGTGTAGATCCGTAGCATTAAAGAAAATACGTACTGGTAGAACTGAGACACATGATCATCTGTAGTAATGATGACTAAATGTTGTGATTTCACAAGTTTTAGATCAGAATTTTCTTACCTTTAGATTCAAATGGGTGAAAGAAAGCTGAG